CATGAATTTTTCTTCCTGTTGTCTGCTTTCAGAAAATTGCCTGTACAATTGCAACCGGTGAATTTGTGCCTATGTTAATACTATAATATGTCTGTAATTACTGATGATCAAAGATTAACTAATTTTGTTTACAAGTACTCTGTATGGCATTTTTACTCAATTAAAATGCAGTTTACAGTCAGGATGGATTAGTGCAGTGGACAACAAAGGCACTACATAAAGTTTTGTAGGTTTTGCAAAGTTATGGTGCCTAAGTATCATATTCTACTTTATTATTTAATCTACAATTTTCTTTAAATGACACATCTTGTTATATTAAATCTGTTCAATCTGAGCAATTAATTCAATATCTGCAAGCAGTACCCAACTGCCATTGCCAGAAAAAGATTTGTTCACACCACCAGCATCACAAACTTCAGTCCTTTCTTACCACAGCAGATGAGCCCTATGAGCAGAAATGTTCTTTCTTAGGGGGTTTGACTTTTGCAGCTCATCTCTAGTAACCATCCCCTTCTTGTTAAAGGCAGGGGGAAGAGGGAGACTGACAGCTCAGCCTATTCTTTCTTGCCTTCCTTCCCAACCAAAGTTGCTCACATTTGTCAGCACTTCTACCCAGGGCTGCTTCAGACACATAGTGGCCAGTTCCATGTGCCGTACGCTGAATTAGGTCACTTCAACATCTGAGCCAATGCCAGCAACTACAAGACACAGTTGACTACACTGAACCCCACCCTGCTCACCTGCACAGGCCTTCGGAGCCAATGCAAGAGCCCCAAGGTTACACCCCTTCAGCGCTTGTCCTTTTTCAAGGTCTTAAGTTCTGCCAGGTCACCCCAAACACAAGTTTTGATGGGAGATGTGGCTGGAACAGAAGCTGCAGTTTCTAAGATGCCAACGTTGCTGCTCAAAGCAACGTCGTCCTTGCTGACAAGCACCCCGTGTGCATGATGCGTTCCTGGTGGGGCGGCAGAAGGGGAGGTGAGGAAGGGCATGGTGTCCTGCTTCTGCATTGGGAATGAGCTTTCCTGCTGCTGAGCGGACATCTTGCCTCGTGATTGTTTACAGGAGTATCTGGTATCCTTATATCTGCCTGCAAACTGACTGCGTTTCAAAGGATGACTTGCTTGTATTGTTCCTGTCATCCCAGAACAGTTTCAGACTGGTTGCAGCTGCGTATCTCCCTCTGGGGAACACACCAACCAAAAATGGTCAAGTTCTGATGCCTTTGGGGGTCTTCCAGGGAAGTCACCAGGATCCATCCCAGTCAGGCACACCTCAGCTTGCAAGACTTCATGGGAGCAGTCTCGATTCCTGACTTGCTTCTGATCCAGCACAAGTCCTTAACCTGAGAACTTCCCTGGATTCCTCTTCTCTACCATGAGAGATGGAATGCTGTGTAGGTACACATGGGATGGAGACATAAAGCTTAAAGCAGAAGCAGCTCAGGGAAAGATGTGCTCAAGGCACATGCCAGTGGAAGCACACAGACACAAAAACTGAGGCAACCACACCATAAAATATTGTCATTGTCACCTGGGCAGATCCCAATGGAGAAGAACCTCCTTGCAGAACAAACACCACCCAGCTCACTCTCTAGTTCAGCACTCGAGATGTTTGACCTGGATCTGTCACCAGCAATCTTACTTCACTGCTGAAACTTCTGGTGACAAGACCATCAGCTGCAATGTAGTCACGGTCCTTGGAAAATTCCATAAATATCAGAAATCTATGTCGCTTAAATGTAGCTCAAAAGGTGAGAGCAGTTAACTGTGGAATTAACTCAGGAATGGGAAGGCAGGGCAGAAGTTAAAGGACCACGTGTAGCACTAGCACCAAAAACTGGTGGGATATGTATCTACAGTGTTTTAATGGTGATCTTCAGCAAGAGCCGTTGTGTCCAGACCAGGGATCTGGGAATTAGGAGAGCTGGGTCTTATTTGGCTGTCTTCACTCCAGAGGTTTTATCCAAGTAGATCTTGTGCCCAAATATCTGCAGGGTCTTTGACTTCGCCATGCCAGGGCTTCCATTCCCCTTGCTCTGCAGTAGTGTGCCTGTTAGACAGTTTGAAACAGTATTATGATGAAAATAGATGATGAATAATTTTCAACATTAACTCTCTCAAAGTGTGGTGTTCAGTCCAGGGTTCATCTCCTTTCTGTGATAATTAACTCTGAAATCGTGATTAGCATTATCTTAGTTAAGGCACCTTCTGATGTCTGCCTGAACACGGCCATGTCTGTTTTTACCAGGGGTTTGGGTGTTTTAAGAGCGCCTGTGGCTAGAATCCTTCTCCAAATTAATCTGATGACATGACTGCCGTGTGATGTCATCACTAGTTCTGGACCATTGCAGACCGTGCAACTACAGAGTTAACACAAAGCCTAAATGCCAACTCCTGTGTGCTGCTCCTGTCCCTGGGGCTCTGCCCTCCCGCTTGCCGCGCTCCTGTGCCGGGGCGAGGGGCTCCCCGTGCGGTGCCGCCAGCGATGCAGAACACCCTCAATGTGCCAGCCTGGCTCAGAGCTGCCATATCAGGGAAAACCAACATCAGATCAGCCTCGCTGCATTGCCAGAGGCGGTGGATGCTGCCTAAGGGCTAAACAGCTCTCCTCAACACGTGAGGTACACATGCACCTTAAAATAAATAACGATCCACGGATCTAGTCTAAACCTACTGTGAACAGACCAAACTCCAGAGACTTGATAACAAGTGGGACTGAGTTCAGGCCAGAACACAGAGCCCCGTGCTAGAGCTTATTTAAAAATTACAGTGAGGCAATGAAGGCAGCACTGCCAGCGATATGAAGGAACAGACAGATAGGCTTGTAACATCACTCAGCGTGCCACCATTTCCTCCAGCTACCTTCCATCTAATATCAGCTCTGCTGCACTTACTCTTGCCAGCCAAAACAGCTGCATCTCTCTCCTTAAAGAAACCAAAAAGACTGTGAAATCAAAGTCTTCTTGCAAACACAACACTTAGCTGATACAGAACTGACTATTTTACTAAACTCTGGCTTGCAGCAAGTACTTTTTATGTCATGACACTGGATTCTGATGTACAATAGAAAATCAAATTTTTCTCCTTCTGCATGCCCCATAGTTGTCAGAACCATTGCTTCTTTTTATTTTTTCAATACAGTAAATAGGAATAGATGCTTTAAAAACTCTCTGTTTCTCGAGTCAGGATGTCGATGAGCTATGAATAATGAAAAAAAGATTTTGCATGAATGGCTAAGACCCAGCAGAGAATTTTAACTAGTGAAGAGTAACAGCATAAGGACTGCATTACAATAATCATCATTCCTGCTAGATAAAGCACTTCTTCCTGCTCATCTTGTGCAGCGGACAAAGAGCCCGGCAGGCAGGACGCGGTGCCAGCGTACAGAGGCGGCATGTGCCGTGCTGACCACGCGTTGCTGCGCTGGCCTCCGTCCGGCATCAGCCTTCTCTCCTATTGATCTCAGGAGAACTGGCAGATTCTCAACCCCTCAAATGCCAAGAGATCTATCAAAGCAACGATTTACAAATATAAGAGTGGACTTTAGTAACATTTTTCAGTGGGTGAAAATGCACTTCCCTTTCTCCTTCCAAAAATGCATAATTAGTTCATGCTCCAATTTTTGTAGCATTGTGTTAAATTTAGGGGGGGATATGCTCTTGCAGGAGAAGTGCATACATTTACTCTCACACACACACTTCTTGTGTGACTTGGTTGTCGTTGGATGCAGTTTTTTCCTGACTTTTTTTCAGACTGCTGTAATACTAAAATCTTCCATGCTGTTGGAAAAGGTTAATTTGTTTGTCTGAACACAAACAACTGGCAATGCCTTAAGCTGTTCACTGTTTCCTTTTTCTTGATACCAGAAGCTTTTTCCTCCCTGCAACTTGCTCTGAAGCTTTACCCCCTGCTTCTTTAAACTGATCTCCAACATTATATTATTTATGAATAAAGGTCACCCCATGAGGAAATGGCACATCTACTAGAAAACAATGTGCACTTTCTAAATTTGAACCAAGTCGTTTCCGTTCTTTGATTTAAGTTTAGTTACTTCCTGTGGTTTCTTGTCCTACGCCGCTGCTGAATCTTTGGATCGCCTCCAGGATAAATTGCACTCTTTCAATGAAATTAGAAACTGCGGCAATAGACAGCTTAGCTAGTTTAGCTAGTAAACAGCACTTAAACTAAATATTAGTCCACTTAGTGTTTTGAAGAGGAGTGCCTAATTACCTGTGCGAGGTGACATAGCAGGTCTGACCCGTGTGTGTGCTCTCCCCGTGCGCTGTACCCGTCCGCTCTCATGCTGGTTTGCAACCAGACAAGCTGCTGAGCAAGAACTTCCACCTCCCGCAGCAGGGCTGAAAGCAGCCTTTGAAACCAGCAGCTCCCGATGGAGACGGGACACTTCCTCGCCGAAGCCAAGCCACCCTCCCACAGGCAGATTCTGGGTTAGCAAGGACAAGCGCTCAGCCCCGCACCCCGAAGCATCTTTGTACCAGGCCAACGCTCCTGCGAGCCACAATTTTGCATCAGGTTTTTTAGAGATCAGGGTCGATTGGGGAAAATGCCCAAATCTTAGATAAGTCATTTCAGGCAGTTTGCTGACAAAAATACATGTGAATATGCACCAGTAACCCAAAGGTGTGCTTTCCCTCAGTAAAAATGATGAATGGACACTTCAGGAGCCTGCAGTAACGGTACCCCTCCCAGGACCAGAAGAGCTATATATGGCCAAGGTTAGGGAGAGGAAAACAGTAGCAAAGGAAGATTGATGCACTTTATACCTGGGCAAGTGCCCTGACTCCCTCAGACACAAGTTTGTCTTGTAAGACCTTCTGCATAATCACCAGCTTCAGCAAAGACGCCTGTTTGGGCAAGGGTTGCAGCATAACTCAATAACGACGCACTCTCTCTCTCCCCTGCCCCTTTTCTTTTTCCTTTCCTTCCCCCAGGACACTTAAGAGCAGATTTTTCACCAGTAATCAGGCTGCTTTATCAATGGAGCCTCGGATTCCCCACAACATCACCGTTGTCCCCAACTCTATGATGGTCCAGCCCTTGCTGGACAGTCGGATCCCCTATGGGCGGCTGCAGCATCCGCTCACCATCCTGCCGATTGACCAGATGAAGACAACTCACATAGAGAACGATTACACCGACAACCCCACCGCTTCCCAGCTGGCAGCCCAGAAGCGTCCCCGAGGCCCCCATGAACTGGTCTCGACCAACCAGCACCTGCAGCGCTGTGAGCAGGATGTCACCCACCCCTGGATTTCCTTCAGCGGGCGCCCCAGCTCCATCAGCAGCAGCAGCAGCACATCTTCAGACCAAAGGCTCTTGGACCACATGGCCCCGGTGCCCGTGGCGGAGCAGTCCTCCCCCAGAGCGGTTGGCATTCACAAAGGTGATTA